GAACTACAGAGAGTATTTAAGTTGTGTTAACTTACTAAAAACTGTATCTACGTAAACTAAACTCTTTCCAGCTTTGATGTGAACCCTAAACAAGTGTAACGACCTGCCATAATACATATCGGGTCATAATTGTGTTAAACGTAGGGAAAATTAAAAAAAAACCGCGCAGCAGGTGATTCGCCTACAGGGTGCTCGTAAAAACGTTGCTCAATTAAATAATAATTGAAACCATAAATCGAACTGGACAGTCTACATGGCTTGATGATTTCGCATTTTTCCACTCATAATTCAAATTACTCGCTATGAAATTGCGAGTAATTTGTATAGACAATTTAATTATATCGTGCGATTACTTATTTGACGCCCGATTATATTGTACAATACAATAGGTTTATTAGTAGGCTTTTATATTGTTAGTCCTTCTCAAACGTTTTTGTTGTTATATCAATAGATTGGTTATTTTTTACAGAATACGACCTTACAGGTAAATTTATTGTTGAGCATGAAATTTTCTATTAAATGGACTTAGAATTAACATTGACGATCTTGTTGGGCCAATGTTAGCAATAGATTGTTATGGATCGCGGATTTGATTCCTATCGGTTGAGTCTTATTAAAAATTGTTTTTAAAGTAATTGTCGGTGTTTTGTTTTACGTGTATTAAATTAATATAATACAAGATTTTTTAGTCACAAATTTAAATCTACCTGTATTTCTACCTAGACCGCTGCTGTAGGTTATTTATTTAAAAAGTTGCTTAACATTAAACACGGAGGATCGTAGATTCGAATCCTGGTAAAATTGTACAGACGTTTGACTTGTCTGTTACTAAGATAGTAAAATTATTGTTCCGAGTATTGTATTTTCATTTTTAATGCAATCATTTAATATAAGTTAATAAATAGATAAAATTAATCAATTAAACGGAACACAGAAAAGAGTTCGCCCCACCTCCTTCACAAACTTCACAATATTTTATACATACTTAGTCGTTTGTTGTTGACGCATTTCCTGGAATAAAATAAAACACAAAACATCAGGTGGTACTATTCGAAAAATGTCTGTAATTTAGAAAAAATAAACAACCTGTATGTGCCTAACGAGGGTGCATCGCAACAGGTGGGTTGAACACGCGTCGAGCGCGTGCCTAAGCGCTAACTATAGTACATTCCTGTAGAAAATACTGTTAAAAGTAACATATAGACAGGTTTAACTGTCGTTCGGAAGGTTCGTTGGTTACTTGAATTGCATCAACATCAACGGATTACGCTTTGAATCCAACTAATACGACGGCTTTGATTATGCGACAAATATTACTTATAAGAAATTAAGTACGATAGCTCCCAACTTCTACTTAATCCCTTCGTCGTGGGTGGAGTATCTCTACCGGTGTAATAATATGAAAAATGCTTACGTACTTATTTTAAATATATCATTCTTAACGGTTTAAAACACGAAATTGATAGTTTCGTAACCGCGGCTGCTACAAAAGCAGGGCATCCGAAAGTTAACTAATACATTTCGCATTTTACACCGTTAAAAGTGTTTTATTTTAATGTGTACTACTCGCGTAACGGCGGATAAAACTTAACTAAGTTTTTACTTAAAGAATCATAAACAAGTAATATAGAAAGGATTTATTAAATTAAATATATTTATCGATAATAATTAGTCTTTGATTGAAAATAAGTTAAATAAGACTGTTACTTCGGTACTTTGTCTGCGACATTCAGCGGTTGTATCACTTAGAAACGATTAAGATTTAAGAGTACAATACTCAATTCAGAAATTTTCGAAATCTTTATAAAAAAAGTTATAAAACAAGTGACTACGTACATCCGAGAATAGTCCCCCAGAACACACACAGAACCAATAAGACAAAGTAATAAAAATTACAGACATAGATTAAAAAGTGCATATTATTGCAATCCACAGATTACACAGCATATGGGTGAAGTCTGGCGCACAGCACCTGCTTTTGTGAACCGCAAATGGTTTGCAATAAAGGGAAAAAATAACGAATACATTATTCGCTATTCCTCGTATGAGAAGGTACGCGTACGGTTTTTTGATTCTTTTGTGTGGACTTAAGTAATAACAGTTTAAGTAAAATATATTTTACTATGACTTTATCTACTTTAGAGAAAAATTAAAAATTATAAGCCACTAAAAAGAAGACTCTACTAACTACTAAAAGATTTGTACTTACTCTACGTCTCCCTGGTGAGACACTTAACACACAGCAGAGAATCGAACTCCCCACCTCAGTTTCTACCCAGATGTATACATTTCCGATAAGAAGGTTTTTATCTAAAAGTAATTACTATCGTGAAAAGATATAAAATATGACTTTGATTCCTAATTTCCTATATACTCTATAGGTATATATTCTCTGTTCTATGAGCCAATTATAGGCTAAAACTTTGCAGCAGCTGTGGTCTCCCCGTGACCACGCCTGTTGCAAAGCATCCGAAACGTCGTACCGCAGTTAAAAATAACTTTCATACAAGTTTAGCTAAAATATATCGCGTTTTAAACCGTTAAAGTGCCGTAAACTACAAACAGTATTTAATTAGGGTTTACCTAAAATATATATAGTCGACCGTTTAACAGTCAAATATAATATTGTACAACGTAAGAAATAAACTGCCAAGTACTAAGTACCTTTTTTTTATACTTTATAATTCTCTTATTATACACGTGCGCAAAATTATTTCTAGTTTTTTAAATTTCTGGTGAAACATTGCTTATTAGCTTAGATATAGATATTGTACCTTTGCTAAGTGCAAATTCCATTTAGCATACAGCTGTGAAGACGCCTTATAGGTTCATCACACCTGCGCTATTATCTATGGGGAAAGTATTTTTAGCTCTTCGAGATGTGAGATTAAATATAATAAACCTTTAACAGCTGTTTATAAAAATAAACGTATATTTTTGGTATTGATTTTTCGGATTTTAACACCGACACCTTTAATTTTGAGTTTCGACATTTTGAAGTTCATAGAGTACAGTTAACTTCATAGAAATTTCAAAGCTTTGCTATCTCATACAGTTACTAAATAAATTTCTACGAGATCGTTCATCTTAACGTCAATGCTAACAATGTATGCCTGAATACTGTCTATAGTTTACGCGAGTAGTACACATTTAAATAAAACACTTTAACGATTTAAAACGCGATATATTAGTTAAACTTATTTGAAAATGGTGAAAACAATTTTCACCATTTACAAAAAGTTTGATAATTTGAGGCCGTCAATTTCAATAGGGAGGACGGCCTCAAACTATCAAACACCTGGGAACCATATTAAAAACTGGATCCCAATAAACCGGCAAACGCGAAGACACCGTTAGTCAATTCTGCAAGGACCCGGCCAGTTTCGCCAAATACCAACTTCGACGGAACAGATGGCGCTACCGTAGCAGTTATTTACTTTAACGTCAGAGACATCCTCCATCTTGAGTCTCCCCGTGACCACGGCTGCTGCAAAGCAGCCGAAACATCGGGCCGAAGTTAAAAATCATTTTCAAATAAGTTTAACTAATATATCGCGTCTTAAACCGTTAAAGTGTTTTATTTAAAAAATGTATGCCTGATAAATAATAATCAAGCAGATCCAACAGGTTTTTAAAGTTGATGTATAAGTTTCCTGCAATATGTCATTCTTCTGGATCCCATCTTGATCTTCCTACCACCCATATCCATGGGTGGTAGGAATATCAAGATGGGAAAGGAAAAATTGATGAAAAAAGACAGTGTAACGTGCTTTCAATTTCATTCTGACACATGCAAAACCAAAATAGGTCAATAGCACATCTTGCTAAGAAGTTATACTGCTGCTTTTTTTAATTCCATCAATTGAACTGCACGTCCACAAAACTTTTCCAATTTAAATTTAAAATACGCAACATAAAAAACCGCGCAATTACTTCAAACAGACACACATTAATTTTTATGTACATTACATGTAATATTAAAACTCATATATAATCCACAACACCCATCATGTTCAGCAAAATGAGGTACCAGGTGCATATAAGTATTACTCCGCTTGCATTAAAGGTTGCCTTCGCGGATGCTCATTAAGATCTGGTGATGGAGACACGCGATGCGATAATATTTTATTGGACCACACAGCTCCTTGTTAATCGGTTGGCGCAGGTGGTTCTATGATTATTGGTGTGAGTCTCTTGTTTTCACCAAGATTAACCAAGTATTTTTGAATCATAAACGAGGATACACAGGGACATGGGAGGTGAAATACAGCCATATAACATCTACATAAGATACGCTGTCAACCTATTTTGGCGTTGGATATTCGGAAATCCACCGAATCACAAACTTCACGGCTTTTTCAGCAGTGGACGTTGGTTCGTGACTCGGACGGTTTTCGATATTCCTACTATCTATTTGTTATCCAGATTTTCGAAGTCCAGTTTCCTTAAAGCGGCCTCACCTTACCTCTAGTATTTTTAGTTCTGAGTTCACCAAAGCTTTAGCTCCGAGGCTCAATGTTTAATAGCTATCTATTGCTATAAACTCGCGAGAGGTTCTAAATTCGAATTTGGAGAAACAATAGTTGAAAGCGAGGACACAGAGGTGTGTCTGCCCTATGCCCTTTTGAACTTCCCTTTTCCCCACTGCGGAAAAGGGGATTTTACTCAAACAACATACGTTTAAAAAGACAAACAAAAGGACAACGAACATTTAAATTATTTTGATTAATACCGGAATTAGAACTACTTTAATTTTTTAATTTTAGAACAGACATTTTAATATTCTTGTACATATACGTTACATACGTATGGAAAGATAAATAACGAAAGGGCGCAAAAAGGAAGGAGACACATCAGAAGAGTCATGCCGAACTCGTCGAATATAAATTATTCTTATCCGCGAGTGATAAACGTGGCTGACTTTTAAAGGGAATTTAATTTTAACAAACTGCTGTATGTACATACATATATAATATGACGCTTAACTGAAAAATGTGAGGTTAACGTATAGATGCGGGTCTAAAAAAATATGATTCTAAAATCCAGTCCTTTACAAAACGAGACTCTTTTTTTAGGTCGACTTCAGCCGGGAGTTCGACTCTCGGTCGCGTAATGGGCACTGACACTGACATGGTCATACCGAAGAGCATCTGTATGTCAAAGAATTTATATGAAAAGAAAGAAAACAATTATGTACTTATTATTTGCCTAAAAAATACAAAATTTATTTTTACACATAAACTTACTACAATAATACTTACAATACATAAAAAAAACAAAACTAATTATAATAGTCGTTAAATTGGTTGGATCGTAGCGTTCAGATATCAAAGAGCTACATTAATAATGTATTAAATAAAACACTTTAACGGTTTAAAACTACATGCCTATTATATACTAAGTAATATATACAAATATATCATATATAGCTGTTTGTTTTTATGGTATGCCAAGTTGTTTAGAACACTAAACAAATATATATCTGCAAACAAAACAATTCCACTCGCCGTTGTCCTTATATGGTTACTTTGTCATGTGCACAGGTGACCCTCCATTATTTTGGATTAGCGATTTCAATCTTATCTCGTCGAGGTAGAGTTTATTTTTCATTGTTAACATAATGCAGATGCTATGCTATGCACCTGCCAATCTCGGCGCGAGCAGGTGATGTGTTGTTTACATTTTTTTTACCCCTAACCGAATAGGGTTGTCGAAGAAAATAAGGTAAAAAAGACGCCGTCTTTGAAAATCTCAGGTTTTTTAATAGTTAATCGTCACAAGCTAAAAAATACAATATATCGTTTACGCGAGTAGTGAACATTTAAAGATAATCTTTTTAACGGTTCAAAACGCGGAACGTATTTAGCCTGCCGTGACAGGCAACTGCAAAGTATCCGAAACGTCGGACCATAGTTAAAATTAATTCATATTTCGCATTTAAGCCGTTAAAAGTGTTTTATTTAACCATGTACTATATTAAGTAAGGTCCTGTGTTGTTAGCCTTTAAAGGTATCAGTTACTGTTGAATTGTTAAATTCTAAATCTACAATAAACTTATGTCAACTAAAAAGGTCTATATATCATACTTTTACTTGGTTGGTGATGGTGGTGTGATTATAAATCCCGCCTATCGCAACGATTCTCAATCAAACGTGAGACACATAAATTACTTTTATCATAAGCAAAATAACTGTGACAACCCTAAAGCAACCCTTGTGCGCCAGCGCGTTGTTTTACTCTTTAAGGAAGCTAATTAATCGACCTAATGGCTTTAAAGATAGGATTATACTTATTTTAACAGTATTACAACAATCCTCGAACACATTTAAAAGATAAGATTTTAGGTAAAGGCGTTTATCGTAAATGAAGCTGAGAAAAAATATTGCACCTGCCCTTCGGTAGTTAGTAGGAAATAATGGTATTATAAAGGGATAGATCAAAAGTAATTATTGCGCTAGACTGTAATATATTATCGATGGAGAATGTTTAAGTATCAGGTACAGTCGATCGAGAAACTACTGACATAAGATATTTTTTATAACTACCCACAAATGTTTATTAAAACAATTGCGTTTTTTGGATAAATAACTTTCGTCATTGTTTTTTTTAACGCGTAAATTTTAATTCACAAAATCTTAATGTTTAAATACAGTTAATTTTACCATACTTAAAGCATAATATAACCACGTATTTCGTTCATTCATTAATTTCGTTTAAATCATTGTAATAAAAGTAATAATTACCTGTTCGCATTTCAGCCACAATATAATGGTGGAGCCAGGTCTTCTCAACTGTCCCTCACTCAATTTCTGCTCCTCTAGCACTTCGCTGTGAAGACGTCCAGATTTCAGCCACACTTCTATAGACCTGAAACAAATATTTAAACATTTTTATTTTGACAGACACTGAAACCAGTTTTTTTTTGTTCTCCGGGAGATGTTTGTGATATACATTTTGAAAAAATATAGTTTTCTTATTAATAATCCGCTTATAGCTTGTAATAGGTTACAAACAAGGAGAAGACAAAAAACGTTTATCAATCACCAATATATATACATAATCTTCAACTAACGTTTTTTGTGTTAGTCAACCAAAATAACCTCGTTACTGCAAGTAAAAAGTGCTTTTCAATCTCCACTCAAGTGGCGTATACAAATTACTAGGCAAAAACGAAGACGTCTTTTATTGGATTCAACGACATCTATCGGGCAAGTTGAGCGACCTAAAAGTTTTTGTTTGGGAATTCCTAGAAAGCAAAGTGGACAGTTATTTTGTAAGTCACGATGGTTACCTACGAATGAGAGCTTTGAAATGTCAGGAATGCCTTCAAGGTCGCAAAAGAGAATATAAACAGACTATATTTTGTATCCGTGTTTACAATAATTATATAACTGTGTCAAAGAATCTACGTACACTTACTAAAGGTGCTTTTGAAAATAAAAGATGGAACTTAATGCTTTTAATTCACAAGTCTTTTAATCCAGTGTTCAGTCGTTTTTTTTAAAGTGTAAATCAAATCTGTATATTACATACGTGTAGTGAGTATGAACGTGATTCTGGAATGTAAATGCATTTATTTAAAATAACTTTTTGTAAGCTTACAATTACTACTTGTCGAATTAAGAAGGTAGAGGGAATGAGAAGAACAGGTTATGTTCCATTTTAAAAGTCTTCATGCGTTAACAGCATTTTCACAGTAAACACAGTAAGTGAAATATCGTTTCTCTCATAAGCGGCAGGGGGCTATGGGCACATGTTGATCGATTTCTTTTAAAGACGAGAAGTTGTTCTAACTCCTGTATCTAGCCTGAACCAAATAATTGGGATTCGAATTCACGACCTCTCGCGAATAATACTAAACGCGTTTAGCCATTACACGGAGTAATGTAATAAATATAGGTAAATTTTATATTACCATAGCGTTTAAATAAGTCACTAAGCCACCGAGCACTATTAAATTTAATAAAAGGAAGGGACATAACAGCATATCAATTCGTCGGACTTCCTAGAGCGGATACAATGCACATATATTTATAAAATGTATGTCTGTGCGTCACTTGGGAGTGACTCAATTGACGGAACTTCTTAGGCGTTATGGCAGTGTGAGTTGTCTTGGTTCTTGATGTGTTTTTATAGAGTTTGTTAAATTAATATGTCAAAAATCAATTAGAAATTGAAAAAAAATACGATTGGGGCAGGACTTGCATCTACAGTGTTGTTCCTTGTTAGGATAAGTTTCTTCCCACGAGGGTTTTATTTCAATGTTTTTGAATATCCATACGTACACCGTAAACAATACACAATAATATTATCCCAGTTGCTTAATTACTGAGTTGTATATAACATAACCGTGAAAAGTCCTCGGTCCGAATCCTGTACATAATTATTTTGTTTCAAAAAAGTTACTGTTAATAACAGTATTCCTTACTTATATTTTGTATTAGGAATAAAATCAATAAGATATACAAAATGGAAAATTTCAATATATATAATATTTTAAATATATAATATTTTTGGCAATCTGTTTGTCTTAAGTAGCTTTACCAACATGAATCATTTATTCATGTTGGTAATATATAAAATTTTCGACTTTGACGTAACGCAGACTTACTACGTTAGTCAGTTATGTTAATTATTGTCAATATTATAGTTTGTTTTAATGTTGATTAACCAAGTAAGTCGAAAAAATGTCGTAAAAAAGTATCGGATGTTAAGATATAGGAAGGTTTACTATTTTATCAATGTTCTTAGTAAGGAATCAAGTTTTATCTTGTTTTTTAAACGCACATTATACACAAACTATAAAACGGAGGTAGTCATGTAAGTGCTTTAGATAGGCCTTTTGTTTCATTAAGGGGAGCACTCAAAAAGTCGTAAAACTATACCGGTTCTGCTAGATGTTTATCGGTGACAAAATTGCTTCGTCTGAGTTAAAAAATAAAGTAGGTGATAGCAACACTGTATTCGCAGTTGCTTGCGTCTCATAAAATACAAGATTTTTTTTAATTAAACTGCTGCGGATATCACTACACTCGTAATATGTAGTTAAAGAGTTCAAATAACACATTTTAATTGTTTATTTTATTTAATTTATTTGATGTTTTAAACCGTTAAGTGTTTTATTTAAATGACACACTCGAGTTATACTAGCTGACCTGACAAGCGTTCTTTCGCCGTGTCATCAATTGTTTTGGAGGTATTCAGACGAAATTTTCATTCAAAGGCATATATACCGTCAACAGCACTGAACGCTGACGATGCCGTTTCAAGTCCTGACCGAGTCGAAAATTGTTTCAATTTATTTTCGATTTTTAAAAAGAGAATATTTCAATTCGAACCAGGAGTTCCTGAGATAAGCGCACGCAAACAAACTCTTCAGTGTTATAATTAGTATTGATGTACCACTCCCGTAAAACTAGTATGCCACTTGCTAAATAGCAGTTAGACATACAATTCCAGTACTATACAAAATATTTCTCTTGTAGCTAGATTCAAACGATTCACCAATTCGATTTGAAAATAACAAAAAAAAGCTTGATAAAAACCAAGTGCTCAATAAAGCGACGTTCACAGCCAGACATGCTTAAAAAAGCAACAGGTGCTGTCCACTGACCTGACTGACGTAATGTTGGAAAAAATGGCGGTCACAATTCGCTTGTCAATTTCCTTGTTAGGATTAGTTTCTTCCCACGAGGGTTTTTGAATATCCATACGTACACCGTAAGTAAGTCCTAGGTCCGAATCCTGTACATATTTATTTTATTTCAAAAAAGTTACTGTTAATAACAGAAAGAGTAGATAATATTCCTTACTTATTTTTTTTGTATTAGGAATCAAACAAATTTTAATACATAAAATGAGTGAACTAAAAGTATTGAAGCCATCCAAAATAAACTTATCTCAAAGGTTATCGTTCAATTGGCTGTATGGGCACAGTGTATGAAAATATTCAGTTGTTCATATTAAAAAACGCTGGACTCTAGAAGCCTGTATCACGCCTATAAATAATTGTCCAGTTTCTGATCGTTTAAGAGATTTTGGTAATAAAAACGTGCACACACAATATCGAATGAAAATTATCGTAGTTTATGTGGATTGAAATAAAAAACTTTTGATGCTTTAAAACGCGATATATACTAGTGTTTATGTATTAACATATTAGTTACTAAAACCTATTTTAAACAACGGCCCGACGCGGACGTTTCGGATGCTTTGCAGCAACCGTGACTACGGGGGAGGCGTATTTAAATTAAATTAAAAATAACGAATATATTTAACGTTTCAAACCGTTAAGTATGTTTTTTTTTTTTAATAGAGAAGAGATGCAAAGCTAGCATTGTAATGCAACTTAGGGGCATTTTTAAATTCATGTAATATTTTTTACATACTTTTATATATACATACATGTATGTATCTACATCGGGAATTTAATCTATTTTAAGGTGGGGGCCAACATACATGATAATAAATGCTCTCTTATAGGTACATACGACCCTGATGTCTGTTTATGGAACTTCTAAGCTGTGGTCATATGAAGTCATTCGTGTTATATTTAATGAACAGGTTCCGGTCACAATGAACCAACCGTGATATCTTAACGAAATGTCTCAAGAGAATGTATGTGGAAAACCTTTTAATCTTTCCGAAATGTCGTTTCCTCTTTTTTATTAAATAAGACAGTTTAACGTATACAAACGCGAAATATATTAGCTCGCTTATCTTAAACTACGGCCAGACGTTTCGGATGCTTTTCAGCAGGTGTGGTCGCGGGAGTAGCCGTAGTCAAATTAAATAAAAAATCTATATCTATACTAATATATAAAGCTGAAGAGTTTGTTTGTTTGAACGCGGTAATCTCAGGAACTACTGGTGGGAATTGAAAAAATTATTTTTGTGCTGCTTGAAGCATGTCTCGTGGAAGGCTATAAAACATTTTACTGCGACTAACTAATAGGAGAAAAGAAACGTGAAAAATACGGATTCTGTCTATAGTTTACGCGAGTAGTACACATTTAAATAAAACACTTTAACGGTTTAAAACGCGATATATTAGTTAAACTTATTTGAAAATGATTTTTAACTTCGGCCCGACGTTTCGGATGCTTTGCAGCAGACGTGGTCACGGGGAGACTAAAGATGGAGGATGTCTCTGACGTCAAAGTAAAAAATTGCTACGCTAGCGCCATCTGTTCCAAATAAGTTTAACTAATGTATCACGTTTTAAACCGTTAAAGTGTTTTATTTAAAATACGGATTCATCAAAAACTATATATCAAAGAATGCTTCCTCTTTAAATGATCTAAAATAATGTCTGGGATAGTATATGTCTATCTTTTAAGATTAACTCGCAAGAACGACGGTACGGACAACGTCGTGGGTAATAGTTTAAACTTATAGAGTTAAACCGGAGGTTTGCAAAACAAATTTTGATGCACAAAATAATTATTTTACGCAGACGATATCGCTGACACAGCTAGTTAGTAAAATATTTCGCATTTAAACTGTTTAAAATGTTTTTCTTAAGAATTAGTGGCCTAAAAAGGTTTCATTCAAAAATAATTGTATTTTTTGCGTTAAAAGCAGAATAAAGTTAACTCTACAAAGTTTTCTTCAATTTTAATACGAAATAACCTTGATGTTAGCGTTCAGTAAATTTTTTACCATATCTTATTAAGCGGTTGAAATTTCTATTATAATTAAAAAATTCAATTACTGTAGTTTAATATTAAAAGCGAAAACCGTCACAGGTAATTTTCTAATTTAAAGTAAATTAATTGTAAATAAATAAAAGGGCATCCGGCGGGCCTCCGTCTACGCTGGCATGTCAAAGCGTTACTAACGCCGTTAAATCAGTCAGATAAGGTTCAAAATAGTATGACGTATTATTAGAATCTCAAAAAAAGGTTCTTTCAATAAACAAGTCTAAAAATAGACGTTGAACTGTTTTGCTAAGTCATTATCGTGTTGAGAAAGTGAAGGAAGGGTTTGATGATACAGTGTAATTTGAACAGTATTGCAACACACAATAACGCACAAAATTATCTTTTTTACTTATACATTTTACAAACTAAATCAATAAGTGTAATTCAAAGTATAAACTAAAATAACAACAAAAATATTGAAGTAGAATTAATAATAATTGAATAAAATTACGATAGTTAGATTAAGTTTTCTTAAGTAAATTAATATAGGTCGCGTTTCAAACCGTTAAAAGCATTAAATTTAATGTAGTAGCTCTTCTTTCGTTGCCTACCTACCGAGTTTCACAACTAAAGCACTACGGTTTTTGTATAAGCAAAATGTTTAATTAGATATTCTATTCTAGACTCAGAACTAATCTGACTTATGAATGACATAAGATAAATTACGCTAATGATAGACCAATTCAGAGAAATAATAATGTTTGATAATTAATTAAGCATTGAGACGATCCATGGGGCTTCACTATTATTTTAAAGATTTGTCACCGAAATAGGACTGCGTTTCCATTATACAACGGGAATAGATACACGATACGTCAATTACATATTTGATTTAGAGACTAAATGTCATTTTGATGTCAAATGAACTGTGATAGTATAAGCTACATTGATCTGTTTAATTATATATATATACTCGTATATAAAAAAATACATATCCAAACAATAAGCTTAGGGACACAAATTTTTGTGTTAGAGATAACTTCTATAATAAGAAGATTAAGAAAAACGTGTTAAAATTTACACAAAGCAAATTATTCGTCGTGCACGATCGGGGCTCGAACTGTCAACTATATAACGATATATGCACATAGCTTCAGTTCAATGCGGCTTAGGACCATTAGGAATATAATTAATTTAAATTCTAAAGAAGACGAAAAAAGGTTGTTACAAATTCGCGTATCGGCTAGAAATAGATAAGACTAGTAACCGTATCGTGAGGAACAATGGAAACAGTACAAATTAGCGGAAACTCATCACATATGTTCACAGCATGTGACAATGCTGCAGGTGGCAGCCACATACGTATTGTCTATAATTATTAATATTACATATCAGTCTGTTGGTCCGTCCATTTATATTCGGACTGTGAATTCGTAACCCATTTTCGCGGTTTGTGAATGGATTACATAATTCAGTCGTGCTATAGAAGAATTTCAGAGCCAGAAAAGGCCGATAGCGCATCTTGTGAAGATGTTATATGCTGGGTCGTTTCACCTTCCATCAAGCGAACACCATGCTTATCTGTCCTCTATATTAAAATAAAATACGATTTATGGCTGTTAAATACTTCGCATATAGCACATGTAAATTAACATTAATATTTTCGTTTGCAAAGCTCTTTACGTCCTTCATTACGCGCAATCTAAAAGTTAAATACCGCTACACATAGGGACGACTTAAATATGAGTTATCGCGGCACTTATTCATTATTAGCTTTCTCCCGCGACTTGCACTACGCGCATACAACGCAGTAACGTGTATTTTTTACGATAAATGTGTGAAATCTCATTTTCCTACGAAACTAAGCTTAAACCTTTAATCAAACTTCAGTTCCCACACCGATAAAAACTTTTTTTTATTATCTTTCAGATTCAAACTTGAACCCAGTGCAACGATTCTCTGGAATAGGATTTTAATAAAACAATGTCTATATATTGATAAACAATTCTTACCTATTAATGAAAACTACGTGAATAGAATTTGCGAAAGTCCATCTAGTATTCTTGAAGATCAGTGTGTAGTTAGACTCAAACAAATTTAAATAAAACACTTCGAACGGTTTGAATGTCAAATATTGAATAGCAGTTTGAACAACGGCTGTTGCAAAACATACTAAACGTCGGGCCGTAGTTAAAATATATTTTGAACAAGTTAACCAACGCGTTTCACGTTTTATACCGTTAAAAGTAGCCGCGCATCGCGTAAACTATAGACTCAAACAGATTTATTAAATGTACAGACGAACTGTGTCTATTGCTTTATTATAGTATTATCCCATTACATTGCGTGACATTTAAAATAACCCATAAACGTTGCTCCATCAATTAAAATTTATTACAAGAATAACCATGGGTTCCATGACACGACAAAGGTGGACCTAGGTTGTGTAGGGTTAATGCCCTAGAAAGGATAATAAAATATCTAGATTATGCCTATGTGTGACGAGGCCTCAGTGAGTCAAAAAAAATAAATCAGCTTCTTCGCTTGTGTTTAACAGTGTACTGTTAAGCAAAACATAACATATGTGTGTTATCAATAAGAAGTAGATTAGAATTCTACATTTTCCTCCGGAATCAAATCTAGGAGAATTCCCACGAGAATTCGTGACTAACCCATTGCGTATAATGAACCAAAGGAACGCTGTAATATATTACAGCGTTCAAATATGTGTTAGTATACTAACACATATTTATATACATATTCGAATTTCGTTAACATTAGTAGTTTTTATGTTCAACAGTAAAAACCTGTATCAAATTTCTATCTAAGTTCCTCGAACTAAGTTAAGTTATTTTCAATTTAGCAGCAGCTGCCGTGGTCTCCCCGTGACCACGGCTGGGCATCCAAAAATCGGGCCACAGTTAAGGTTAATTAAAAATAAGTTAAATAATATATATCTCGTTTATAAACCATTAAAAGTTTTTCATATAAAAATTCCGCACTTAAAAGACGCCATGTTGTAAATATAGAAACATAAGAATAATAAGCCTAAAATACAAATATATTTTAAGCTTTTTAATCCAACAGACATTAACGCAAGATATCATTGGATAATCTATTAATTATTCAACAGTTAATTTTATAGTTGAATTTAAGCAGCAATTAGGTATATGACAAAACTCTAGTCATAAATATTAAAAAAACTCTTAATCTATGACAAGCACTCCTTTCACTTAACCCGCATGCATTCAGTTTCAATTACCTCGTCTTGAAGGAAAACCGGGAAGAAGGGAGATAGATGGATCATCTGCATAGAGAAGAGAGAGTTAGCGATATAAACAAATCGTGGGGTCGTAAAAAGCATGGCATATGTCGTCCGACAGATGGTCGGAACCGCAAGCGCAGGTTGATTCACTTACGATAACCCGGTGTCAATGTTGAGAAATTATTGGTTGGAGACGTGTCATTTTGGACAGAATTTGTCGAAATGTGAAAGGGAAATTTAAACAAATATAAATTAGTGGCCATGTACCTGGATTGTTTGTGAAAGTACATTTACAATGTCCCCGTGACCACGTTAAAATAATTGCCAAATAAGGTTAACTAATATACATCGAGACTATGAGCAAAGCTAGACGAAGACAAAGTTTACCTAGACGATATTCTTCTTTTAAATTATAAATCCAACCAAACCAAACCAAATTTTGGCGAAATACTTCATATGCAAAAAGAACGCCAGGTCAGCTAGTTACTAATAAATTCCACTTGATTAAGACCACCAAGCTGCTCCACTGCAGGTTGGTGGGCTACTACCGTAACTAAATAACTGAAAAGAATGGATTTTTGGCACACCCTACTTCCGAATTTCAGATACCTCTAAGATACTAAGTCCTCCTATTCTTCAGACAAGTGGAGTACTTGACCTAACAGGAATTTGGTCTAGTGTTTACTGCACTATACGCTTAGTGCACTACATATATTGTATACGTGTATTTAAATGGGCAGTTATTAAACTAATCTATAAAGGATATCATGTTTAACTCGTAACTAGAAGACAAATCAAAATAATCTTCACACTTGCATACATAAATAAATAAAATTATGAATAACGAGCATTTTCCAAGTGCACGCCTGGTGTTGGATATTGTAATGGTTCCGTAGTCTTTAAAATTACGAAACATATCTTATGATAGATGAGGACAGACAATCTTTAGGTGCACTTGATGGTAAGTATATACCCCAGCCTATAACATCTAAACAAGATACCCTGTCGACCTATTTTTGCTTTGGATATTTGAAAATCCACAGATTAAAACCGTAACGCGATTAAGCTTCACGGCTTTTTCATTCACGGTGGTTCGTTAGACGGACGGAACTTGTGTATTCCTACCATCCATTTCCAGATTTTCAAAGTTTAATATGTTTCAGAAAAATTATAAATTGAAAAATTAGTAACATGTTAGACCCGGTGGGATCGAATTCACGACCCGATGATTTTTAGCCATAAATTCATCATATTATTTTGTTGTACATCTTTTAAATACTGTAACATAATTATAACCTATATAATATATATTAACCCTATTTAATAATAAGTAATTTTAATACAATAATCATTAAAATGAAACATATCCCTACCCGATATTTGCCACATCTTATATAAAAATTAAATAATAGTGTTAAAATACAAATCGTAACAAGTTTTAAATACCTAATTAGTTTTTCTACTCACACCTACGAGCTCAATGAACATCGTACAACAGTGCGTGTTATTTAAGATAAAAAATGTTTACATATATATAATCTAAAATTAATATATTCATAGTTTACAGTAAAAAATAAAGGATTTAAACTATTAAATAAAAATCTTTTAGAAGTCTCAAAATATATTAAGTATTTTTTTAGCTACGACCCGACGTAACTGAACTATTATATTTCACGTTTAAGCCGTCAAAACGGCTTCATTTAAACTAATACATCAATAAATTAAACGCGATATATTAAGTTAGGATCGACTTCTTTTAATGCAGTTTAATTTTAATTTATACTCTGAAATAAACTTAAATGCTTATTTGGCGCAACTTTTATTATCTTAAATGTAGAGCCATAGTGTCTGGATAGCGTAACAAGCTTTTTTATGTTTAATAAAACAAAATTGTAGTTTTCTCAGTTAGAAGCGGAACCCTAAAAGTTAAGCGGTCACGGTCGTAGCTTCGCGCTGAGTCGTTACATAAAAATATTTATGAATGATACAATCCCTTTAATTGTTGAGTTAGAACTTGTTCAGATAGAAATCTCATGATTTGCGCCGGAGCATAAAACTGGAGTAGCGTCATCGGACAATGACCCACAAATCTTTATATTGCAACAATTATCTTTCGTGAGCTTTTGTTGGGAATGTTTTGTACCTCAACGCTGGTGCGTCTATTTTACTATTGTACCTTACTTTAATGTAAAATTAAAGTCACTTAGGAATTTACCTTCTTTTCTCTTATACCTTCAATATTATTTTTTGGCATCCTAATTCGTTTTTGCAAACCCCGTCATCTTTATGAACGTAAGCTGTTACCCACGACGACGGTCGCGTCCCTTCCCGTCGTTCTTGCAAGTTAATCTTAAAAGATACATACTTATATAGCGTCGCAGATTTTTTTTAGATCATTTGAAGAGGAATCATTCTTTCATACTCATTTTTACCAACACAAAAATAATTTTTCAATTCTAACTGGTAGTTTCTGAGATTAGTGCGTCCAAGCAAACAAACTCTTCAGCTTTATATATTAGTATATATAGATAAGATAAATTAAAAAGAAAAAAATGTGTAAGTTATTTGGGACACCTTCCATCTACAATCCCCCCGTGACTGCTGCTGCTACGAAGCAATATTCGGGCCTCAACATCAGTCCGGTAGTTAAAATAAGTTAACTAATATATTTCGATTCGATTGTATAATTTTGCATAGCTCCAAAAAGTGCGAATACACCACTTGTGTCGCGGGCCATTCGATCGATTCGATTTTTCTTTTCTCTTTGATCTTTGTATTTCCGATTGTCCGAAGCCAAAGCGGCCATACCCTCAGCTTGTGTGTCCTCTTATGCCATAAAGAATACTGTGGAACAAGTGAATTGTCTCGATAACATTACGTGAATTCACAATAATTTTTATGACGAGTTACGACAGAGAGACCGCCATTTTAACTCGAGCCAATTCCACGCTCATAAATCGTTAAAAAACAAACACAGAGCGTTATGACACGTTTTCATCACTCCCTAAAACAAGATAATTTTAAATTTAACTGCGGCAGAGAAAACAAAAGAAGTCACGTGACCCAAATTCCAGTTCAAACGATCGTACGCGTGGCCAGTTGCTAGCGTCGAAACTTGTGTCGACTACTTTTTTTTTTTTTTTTTTTTTTTTTTTTTTTTGAATTGATTATTACGTATTGTGTTCCTATGGAGCCACGAATACTAACCGGACGTTTTGGGCGAGCGCGTTAGCGCTCGCCGTGTTTGCGACTAGACCAAGGGTGCCCCGAGGGGGGCATCGGCCTCGGCTTGGACCGCCGCAATGAGGGTGGGAGCTTGAAGAGCTGGACGGAAGCTCACCCGGGTGAGCGGTACGCGTAGCGAGTGACCTCGCCTACGCCGGCGTAGGCGGTTTTGCGGGCGAACGGCGCCGGTGTCGGCCGAACGCAAAGCGGTAAGGAGATCGACGGCTTTCGTTAGATCGTCGTCGGGGTCGGTAAGAACATTACGCGGCCTTCTCCAGCGCATTGTGTACTATTTATTACATAGGTCCACTGGTTAGTGAATCCCGGGTGAAATAGTAGTATGGTGTTCTACGAGAATCTGTACTATAAGGGTGGAGTTAGGGAGTAGGAGGTGACAACGACAATAGGTTGAAATAACGGCGACTGTATATTATGGGCCGTTTCACACAACTTCATGGTTATCACCTTTAATTAAATTATAATTTTAATTATATTTGAATTAATTTATACTAGAAACTCAAAAATTTAATATTTCCAACCACCCAAACAGCAAATTCATTAAAAGCCCTTTAAACGGGTTGAAATACGCGTAACTTTTAATTCAACTAATTTTCTGTAAGATTTTGGTATTTCTCTGTAAAAGCTGAATATAGCGGAAGGGATGTCGAAATTCTATCCAGATCAGAGGTTGGTGATCACAGACGAAAAAACAATGCAAATTAATCGCGTTTCGGCTTTTATGAATTTCCAAATGTCCAGAGCCACCATAGGTATATGGCTGGAATATTTCTCCATCACCACATGAACTCCAAGCTTCTCTGTCCACTTCTACGATGAAGTAGTTATTGATATACATTAGTGGGGGGATACTTTTTTATTTACCTTAAATTGTTACGACAAAGCAACGAGCGTGTGTAAATACCATATACGCCACAAAGATCATAAAATCACGGAGCAACCTTCAGAGTCCTTCAAGTATCCCCGGAGGCTACATCCTTAAATACAGTCAGACGGTAGGAGTATTGAATGAATTAAGGGTCGGTCCCTATTCCCTGCGACGTAAAAGTCTGGGCGCCTCAAGATCACACTGTGCCCTTCGTCAAAGAATATAAGGGCATTCAGAGACCTTTAGCTGGAAGTTAAAACCGAAGTAGATGTAACACTGCTAATATAAACGGCGAAAATATGTGATGAATTATAACGTACAGATATTTCCCTATGTCAAAGTACACAAGTAACAATTGGCTCTAGCGTAACATTTGACACTTAACAGACTTTAAACATTTAAATAAAACACTCACGGGAAGACCACGTGACCACGGCTGCTGCAAAGCATCCGAAACGTCGGGCCGAAGTTAAAAATCATTTTCAAATAAGTTTAACTAATATATCGCGTTTTAAACCGTTAAAGCGTTTTATTTAAATGTGTACTACTCGCGTAAACTATAGACAGACTTTAAACAGTTAAAGTGTTTTATTTAAATGTGTACTATTCGCGTAAACGGTACGGGACGGTATGTATTCTTACATATTATAATGTTTTAAAGTGGTCGACAAGAAACGGTCACTAAGTAAAACTTTAAAATAATATAAGTACATCTTTGGTAAAATTCAACCAAATTTACCACCAATTTTAATTAATTAATTGTTATTGTATATGCTTACACGAAATGATCAAGTTGGTCTACTTTGTATGTCTACCTACAATAAATAACTTTTAATTAACTTTGTAGACCAAGCGACATTCTACACATACAATTATAAAAGCAATTAAATTCATTCGGATTTTGACATTTGTTTTGTAAAAGATCAATGCAATCATGAGTGGTAAACTTTTATTGCTGTCCTTACTAAATTAGAGTTTTTCTAATCAA